GCACCCGTTACTCCGGTTATCACTGTTTTACCCAAAGCCAAGTTCCATCGTGCCCGCGTCGTAGATCATCTCACACCCTAAATCTCCAAGCTTGGCGTCTGGCCCTTGACACGGCCAATCACCTGCTGTGGTGCGTACTTGGGGATGACCTCGTCGTCGTGCAGCATTTCGAACTCCTCAGTAGCGTCACGGCCCATGAAGTTCATGATGGCCTGGGGGCCACCGGGGTGCTCCTCGAGCCAGTTGGACAGGTCCATCACAACGCCCTTGACGACGACCCACAGGTCCTCCTTGGTGTTGTGCTTGGCAACCTCCTCCATGGTGTACTCCTTCTCGGGGATCGTGAACTCCTTGGGGTTGTTAGGCTTCGACGCCTTCTGGCCGTCCTTCACGGGTGTGGGGCCAGCGGCCGATGTAGTCTGCTCGGCAGGGATACCCTGACCACCGGCGCTGCCGGCGTTGTTCCAGTCAATTGTGACACGGCCGGGCTGCGCGGGGTCGAGGTGCAAAGAGATCTGGCCAAGACGAGACGCAGCGCCTCCTGCGCCGCTGAGGGCCTGCTGGAAGAGGTAGTTGCTGGCAGTGTCACCGGCAACACGGCCGTAAACGACACAGCCAAGCAGGGAGGAACCGCCGAGACGGTTGGCACCGTGGACACCACCGGCAAGCTCACCGCAAGCAAACAGACCGTCAAAGGGCTGCTTCTCACTGTTGAGGACCTGGGCCTTGTCGTTGATCTCGATACCACCCATGGTGAAGTGGAGGACGGGCTCCATCAGGGCGACGTGGAAGTCGTCGTTGATGTCAAGGGGCAGGTTGTGGAAGAACTTCTTGCCCCAAGGGTCCTTCTGCTTGCCGTCGGCAATGGCGTTGTAGGTGGTGAAGGTCTTTTGGAGGTGCTCGGGCTTGCAGCCGATCTCCTTGGCCAGCTCGGCGCCGGTCATCTTCTTCATCAGGCCACGGCCGGAGTAGTGGCGAGTGTGGAAGTCAAGGACCTTGGAGGCCTTTGAGTTGAGGACGAGTCTAATGGGGAACTTGTTCTTGTCCTTCTCCTTCCACATCATACCAGAGACGTAGTCACGGTGACCAAGCTCGTCGCAGAAGCGGTCGCCGTCGGCGTTGAGCAGGAGACCACCTTCACCACGGAGGGCCTCGGCAGCCAAGAACTTCCACTTGGAGCCGGGGTCCTTGGGGTCGACCAGACCAGTGGGGTGGACCTGAACCTTGTCCATGTCGATACCGTTACCGCCGATGGCCATGACCATCTTTTGACCGTCACCAGTGGCGTGAGTGCCGTTGGTGGTGGCGAGGCCGTAGGTGTCGGGACGGTGCTTCTTGAGCAGAGACGTCTCGCCAAAGTCGGCGGCGTAACCACCCGTGGCGAGGATGACGGGGCCCTCAACCTTCTGCTCCTCTCCGTTGAACTCGTATGTGACACCGGTGATGGTGTTGCCGTCCTTGTTCAGGCCGGTAACGCGGGCCTTCTTGATGATCTCGACACGGCCGGGCTCGGTCTCGGCGAGCTCCTCGAGCCTCTGCATCAGAGCGTAGGTGATGGCCATACCGGGGAACTTGGCATCGTGTCCACGGTGGGTACGGGGCTGGGAGTGACCTCTGCAGTGGCTGTTAGAGGCTGACCCATCTGGGACATTGGGTTCTGTGTTCAACTTACCCTAACCGCGAAACCAGGGTGAGGTCCAGGTTGAAGACATCCTGAAGCCACTCAACAGCGGCAGCGGACTTGTAGGTAAGAACCTTGATCAGGTCGGGACGAGCCTTGTCACGCGCAGACTTCAGGGTATCATCGTAGAACTGCTTGACACTGTCGGCAATGCCGGTGTCGACCTGTGTCCGGGTCAAGGCACCGTTGATACCAGAGGTGGCCTTGGTAGAGTTGCCACCGAAGAAGCCTATGCGACGAGTCGTCAGCTTCGCGACAGGCACAAGCGAATAGAAGCAGACTGCGACTTACCCTGCTTGTCGAGAACGACAACGTTGCCTCCAGCGAGGTAGATGGTGTGGGCAGCACTCAAGCCGGACACTGGTGTCGCAAATTAGCACGTGAAGGGGCAAAACGGGGCGACATTGGCCACGATGAGGGAGCGGGAGTGAGAGTCAGAGAATGGAAGGGCAACTTACGACCACCACCGACGACGATAACTCTGGGTGCCATTTTGGTTGATGTGTGTATTGATGCGCTCCAAAGGACAGGTATGGAGGACAAACAAAGAAGATGGGGAAGAGAAGTTTGTGGGGGGGAGGAAGGGAGTTTGGATGGCGAGGTTTAAGAAGAAAACGAGGAGAGGAGCGTTCCTTCGTCGTTGCTACGCCGAGGAAGATGGTACAAAGGGCGTGGGCACGAGGTATCGGCTTCGGGGCCGAAGGCTGCTTCTGGTACTTCTTGGGGGGGTTTGGTTAGGTACAGCAGTACAGAGCCCGTCGCTGAGACGGCGAGTCGTGAGCCGAGGTCGAAGCGCTGGAGAGCAAGCAGGGGGATTAGCATTGGAGACTTTCATGGGACACGACTGGGCCGCCCGCCATGCTAGTGGGTTTTGGGCCGAGTTTGGGTCTGCGTCGGGGGGTCGGGGTAGGGGAAGGGGGGGGAACTGGTCTGGGGCCCTGGGGATGGATTTGGGGAGTTGGCGTCACTAATTGCGGACGTACCAGTAAGAACGAGGCTTTTGGTCAAGCGATGGCAGCAGAGTGGCAGTGGCCGAGGGACACAAAGGGCGGGAACAATGGGCACTCGAGACTAGCCTGGAGGAGCGGGCTGCGTTGCCTAGGTTGGGGGCGACTGTGGGGAAACGATTTCACCAACAATGTTTTTCTGTCACTCGTCGTCCGCCGACCTATGTCTTTCTTTTCCTCCCAATTGTAAGAGTAAAAGTCAATGAATTTCTGTTCGTGTTGAGACGGCACGCCAGGCAATTGCGTCCGGTTTGCGGAGGGCTTATATGATGATAGTACATGCTTTGGCAATTGGGGCGACCAGGCCCCCCCTTCTGCTCTCTCGCAGCAATTCTGGCCGAGGAGGACCTGCTTTCGCTCCCTTCGGTGGTGGACCGCGACGTGCAAAAACTGGGGGAAGTGTGGGGTGTGACTAAAAGGATCGAACTATGCTCAAGCTGTGGCTCCAGCTGGTGCTGCTTGCTTGCTGTTACCCAGCGGGAGAGTGCGCATCAGGGAGATGGACTGTTCGTCGTGAGACCGGTCGACCCGAACCTCAACATCACCCACTTGAGGCTCGAGAAGGGATGGCAGATGGCAATTCGCTAGCTCCAACTGTGGACTTTCACAAGGCAATTGGAGTAGCCTGCTGCCACAGAAAAGCTTCTGAAGAATTTTTTGGGGGCAGTTTCAGGCCGTTCCTTGGACCACCGTCGCCGTCTTTCTGACATGTGAAGGCCACTTGGTCACGGGCGTCTACTGGTAGTGCTCACGCTGGCCGTCTCCCGTACCAAGTCGAGCCACCCCATCCCGCCCACCTCTGAGCAACGCAGGCTGATCCCTCTTATCGCCCCCCACAGACGTCGTGGGCGAGACGCAAACTAGATGCCTCGTGTCAAAGATGAACGGGTAATGGAAGACCAAGTGAATCTTCACGGGCATAAACGCCATCCATGGGACACGTTCTAAAACCATTCTCCAGCCCCTTCAGGCCCCCTCTAGTCTGTGCACTTGCATCGAGGCTGCGGCTGCTTGAGCAAAATGGCTGCGTCTACTCTTTATACGCTACGAGCAAGACGAGTCTAGTCTCGCCCACTCACACGACGCCTCACGCACTCTCGACTCTGTCTCGCCCCCCACACAGATGCCCGGCAAATACCTCCCAGGTCAGCAGATGATGCCCGGTCCGGAACTTTTATCACCTGACCGAGGATCTACCACCGCATCTTCCCCAGCCGGCCACCGCGCATTGCCGTCCCCTCTTTTTGTCGCTGCTGGGCCGACCACTAAGTCGCATTCCAGCTTTCCTCCGCACCGCACTCATGAGAGTCCCCTCCTCCCGCGTTGCCGCCCAAGGTCACCTCCGGCCTGGGGGAATCTCTGGGGTTTGCGGAGGCTGGGCTGGAGAATACCAGGCGGCAAACAGTGCCCTTGCATGTGATAGGGGATCTTGGGGAACAAAACAGCGCGCGGGCTGTGCGGGCAGTCTGGGCAGTCAGGTCAGATGCTCTCCCGCCGACGGTAAGGCACCCGCCTTGCCACCTGTCCATTCGATTTCGTTTCAATTGGTCCTTTCATGATTCATGAGAACTCGTTGATTCCTGAGGTTGTTGATGTCGATGTCGGTACCGTCTCTTGCTGCTGATGTTGGGGGTTCCCAAAAAGCCCCCCTTCGAATACAGCAATAAATTCCGAGCGCTTCCTCGCGCATCTTCACCCTGCCCTGACCGATCTGGCAGACCTACAGAGAAACCCGCACCCCGAACAGATGTGGATATTTCGCCGTCTCCGCAATCGCGCGTTCCTGCGAGACAAAAGGCTCCGGAGGGCCCAGAAGGCCCAGAGACATTGCGGACGTCCTCGGTGTATCTCGGCGAGTGCGCCCATCCTTCGTCAATGCAAAAAGTGAATCTTTTGCCCAGGGCAACATCGTGATCGCATACTCGGGGAATGAGCGTTTTTACCATCTAAGGGTTGTAATGCCTCGGGACGCGACGCGCATCTCAGTTTCGTGTTGCGTCTGATGCAGTGGGTGTTGGCGCGGAAAGTCACAAGTACCACTGTCGGCGGAGGCTACGCTGCGCTGCGAATTGTCGGAGCAGGGATGATGTCATGTACGAGAATAACCAATCAACGCCCCAACATTGTCAAAAAATCCGGTCTCGTGGGGATTTTCGAGCCGCAGAACCGCATCACACCTGTGGCAGTCTTACGGTTTGCGAGGTGACGCGCGCCATTTGGTGGTTTACAAGCCTAGTGTACTGCGCTCGTGAGATGGAGCCGACGAGAATTCTGATTTGACGCATACACAAACCTTTAATCCAGGAGCTATCATGAAGCGGCCCGCCGCCTTTTTACTCCTTCTTGCCTGCTCCGTGGTAACGGCGCAACTGAGATCACTCCCCGTAGAACGCTCCGGTCCCTACGCCCCGCGCTTCTTCCGCCAGACACCCCTCGTGAACCCGGTTCCCGTCGGCCCAGCCATGCCACCCTCAGACCCATCCGACTCCCGGCCGCCGCCGGCCCAGGACGGCGTGAGGCTCTCCGATGTCATGGGCCGTGACCGGAGCATCAACGTCTTCGCCGGCTTCACGCGCGACATTGAATCGGCGTCCCGCCGCCTCGATGACCAGGCACGCAACACCACCGTGCTGGCGCCGCTCAACTCGGCCGTCGAGAAGCTGCCGCGAAAGCCTTGGGAAGACCCCAAGGACTATCAGCAACTCGGGGAGAATGTGTACGAGGGCGATGACGGTCGGGACAGAGCGCAGAAGAACATCCAGCGTTTCGTTGAGGCACATATGGTTGCCATGAGCCCTTGGCCAGAGAATGAGAAGGCCAAGACCATAGGTGATGATAGAGACGTTTGGTGGGAGAACAAGGACGGGACCAAGTTTGTGGGTTTCATATCCATGCTTCGTTGCTTGCAGGCGGAAACTGACATAACGCTTAGATTCAGCCTGGCAATATCGAGGTTGTCAGTGTCGCCAGCACCGTCGCCAACGGCGAAGTTGTGAGTAACCCAAGCATAACGATCTCTCATAGACATACCCCGTCGAACGTTGGCTAATTCGCGTGATCAGTGGATTATCAAGGAGGTCCGTAACTATGTTTAGACTTCTGGATTTACGACGAGGGCCTGCAATACCTGGCTTGAGCACGAATGGATGAATGAAGAGACGGTAAATGAATACCCGGACAGCACCTCTGGATAAAGAGCCGTCGTATTTCTCACCGCACGCTGATATCTGATACTGGTTCATGGGTTGCGAGTTGGAATGCTTATCTAGACCTATACAGAGAGCCATGGCTTACAATTTCATGCCGACCTGCCATTTCATTTTTTGGGCTTGCTGCATGACGTATAGCTAGTGCAGAGGTTTCTCTCTTCTAATCCGTAATTAAGAACCTATGCACTCAAATCTACAAAGCCTGGATCAACAGAACATGATACAAGGAAAATCCTCAATAGAACCGTATGCGACAAATCTGGAAATACTCTAGACATCAGATGAAATCATCTATGCCGAATCGATATGAGTAAAGTGGATCTCAATTGATAACGGTCTTATCACCACGTGATGCGGCTTCTTCCGCGCTCGGCGGGCTCTCATCCCAATCAGCCGGGAAGGGGTTTGAGCAGCAGCTACCAAGCTCGTAAACCACCACGAAATTTCTCTACGGGACGACCTTGTAGGCCTTCGATACCGCATTCTGGGACCAGTCGCTTTATCCTCATGTAGAAGTTATACCTTCTGTAGCATCAGTCTGTAAGTTTCGACATTTCTCCGATCCCTGTCTCCTGCCAGCCGGTGGCCGACGCAAAGCTTGCGCGGTCGAAGATCCAGCCCCCCTTCAGGATCTTCAGGGCGCAAGCTCTCACAACAACCCCTCCCTTCTCATACCTCTTTTACGTGCTCGTCACTGACTTCCGAATGATAGAGGACGATCGATCTCACGATGATGAGCGGTAAACCCGCCGACGAGGCCGACGCTTACGAGCGCGAAGCCGAGAATCGTCGCCGCCTCGCCCAGGAAGCCGACGAAATGGAGCGACGCGAACAAGAACAGGCCGACAGACGTCGCCGCGAAGGCTATCCTCCAGGGCCTCCTCATCACAGCAATGCCGGCTCGATCCCCATACACCAACCGGTTGCATCTCGCGCGATGGGCGCGATTCACAGCCCCGGCGGCCTTCTCGCAAACCATGGCTCAGGGTCTTCAGGCCCCCCAATGCCCCTTGGTGCTCCATCAGGGCCTGGCGCGAACTTCGGCGGCCCCCTTCAACCCGATAACAGCAGACCACCGCAGCATGGCGGACCCAACAACCCGAATGCCCAGCACCAGATGTTCGCTCCGATCCCGCATACGACCGTTCCTCCTAGTAATTCTCTTGGCGCCGCCAGCGGCGGCCCCCCTGTATTTGGAGGCCCGTTGCAGCAGCGCGACGGCCAACAACCGATGCAACAAGGGTTATACGGTGGCGGTGGTGGAAACAGCGGCAGTGGTCCTGCCGGCGCTCCTGGCGGCCAGGGCCAGACGCAACAACAAGGGCAAGGCGGCATTGCCCATGGCCAACAACCGATTTTGAACGTAAGTTCAAAACTTCATTATGGATTCGCGTAACGAGATGGCCATGCTTGCCGACGCTCTTGCCTGTGGCTTGACCATTCAAAGTGGAAACCAGTGTGGGCTGGTGCGCCGATACGGCGCAGGTCTCCCAAGCAGGATGCAGCGCCGCGCCGACCCGCGTGAATATTACATTTCCCATCCTCCCACGTCCACCCGCGCGCCTCTCCTTCATCATCGCATATACACCTGACCCCCCTCCCAACAATGCCTATTTTATCAACCTGCTCGTAGCCCAGGAATCACGCGACCGCAGCCATGGCGGAGAAGGCGGACCTGGTTTCTGTCAAGCTTGGAATCGAGTTGATCACTGGTGGTCGAGAGCAGGGGCTAATAATGATGACAGGATGCCTTGACCTATCTGGACCAGGTTAAGGTACAGTTCCACGACCAGCCCGACGTGTATAACCGCTTCCTAGACATCATGAAAGACTTCAAGAGCCAAGCGTAGGTGTTCCGTTCGCCATCTTTTCGGCACGGCTGACCATGACAGGATTGATACTCCCGGGGTTATCAACCGCGTCTCGGAGCTTTTCGCTGGCCACCCCAACCTGATCCAAGGCTTCAACACCTTCCTGCCGCCCGGATATCGAATCGAATGCGGCGCCGGTAACGATCCGAACACCATCAGAGTTACAACGCCAATGGGTACCACTGTTCAATCCATTGCCGGTAGAGGCACGCAAGTCGAGGGTCACGCGCATCCCAGCGGTGCCTCACAGCCGCTCTTCCCCCAGCGCGGAAACAACTGGCAGCAACAGCAGCCGCCGCCCCCTCAGCAGCCTCAACATAGCATCGAAAGCCCCGAGGCCAACTTCAGTACGCCTGTGCAGAATGGCCCTGGATCTTTCGGACCTGCTGCTCAGAACCTAGCTGCGGCTTTCGAAGCTCAAGGGACGGCTCAGCAACGTGGTCCCTTGCAGGGTGCCGCTCATGCGAACAATGCGCAGCAGCCGCCTCGCAACGCGCATACACCAACTCCGGCTACAGGACCCGCAAATGGCAACGGTGCTATCAACCAGCAGCAACAGGCAAACATGGAACGCCGCGGTCCAGTCGAGTTCAACCATGCTATTAGCTACGTCAACAAAATCAAGGTCAGTCTATCTAGGCCTTGTCGGCACCTCTTTCCCAAAGCTGAGACCTCGCGCACTAACCACGCCGCAGAACCGCTTTCAGGATAAGCCTGAGATTTACAAACAATTCCTTGAAATTCTCCAGACTTATCAGCGGGAACAAAAACCCATCCAGGACGTCTATGCCCAGGTTACAACGCTGTTCCACACAGCACCTGACTTGCTTGAAGATTTCAAGCAGTTCTTGCCTGAGTCCGCTGGACAAGGAAAAGGAACGCCCGGACGACCTAGTGATGAGCTCCCTCCCGGCCCGGGCCCGAATCAGACCCCTCAACCTAGTATGGGCGGTCAGAAGATGCCTCCCCTTGGTAGCTTTGCGCCTCCCAGTGCTTCCAAAGAGAACAACAAGAAGCGACCTCGGACGGACAAGCAAACACCCATTCCTGTTCCGGCTGTTGTTGAGACGGCGCCTCCAGTCAGCAGAGTTGCTCCTGGCGCTCCACCCCCTGCCGGCGCGAACAACAAGCGAGCGAAACTGGCTCACAACAAGGCACTTGCGTCCGATGCTCCTGCAGTTGAGCCGACTTTGACACCAATTCTGCCCGAGCCTCTGGGACCTCCGGCTTCTTCTACAACCAATTCAGACGAGATCGCCTTCTTCGAAAAGGTCAAGAAGTATCTCAGCAACAAGACTGCGTTCAACGAGTTCCTCAAGGTCTGCAACCTTTTCAGCCAGTCGATCATCGACCGAAACACGGTATTTCACAAGGGCAGTGTTTTCTTCGCTGCGAACCCTGAACTCCTGGGCTTCTGGAAAGCGTTCCTCAAATACGAACCGCACGAGGATGTCGTCGACAATCGACCTGCTCCGCCTAGCGGAAAAGTGTCTTTGAGTAACTGCCGAGGCTATGGCCCTAGTTACCGTTTATTGCCTAAGAGGGTACGTCTGACTAATTTTTTAATTATCACTCACCATGGCTAACCATCTCTCCAGGAGCGCCTCAAGCCCTGCAGCGGCCGTGACGAACTGTGCAATTCTGTCCTGAACGACGACTGGGCCTCGCATCCCACTTGGGCCTCAGAAGATTCAGGCTTCGTCGCACATCGCAAGAACGGGTTTGAGGAGGGTTTGCACCGCATCGAGGAAGAACGCCACGATTACGACTTCAATATCGAGGCGAACCTGAAGTGCATCCAGCTTTTGGAGCCTGTGGCCCAGCAAATCAGCGTGATGTCGCCATTGGAGAGGGAGCACTTCCAGATGCCGCAAGCTTTGGCGGGGCACAGCACATCAGTTTTCAAGCGCGTCTGCAAGAAAATTTATGGTGACAAGGGCCCCGAAGTTGTCAACGACTTGTTCTCGAACCCGCTCAACGTTGTCCCAATCGTTTTGACACGCATGAAGCAGAAGGACGAGGAATGGCGATTCTCTCAGCGAGAGTGGGAGAAGGTATGGCACGCTCAAGTCGAGCACATGCATCTCAAGAGTCTTGATCACATGGGCATTCTGGTCAAGCAGAATGACAAGAGAAACCTCTCGGCCAAGCATCTCGTCGACGTTATCAAGACAAAGGCGGAGGAACAGAGGCGCCAGCGCAGCCTGAAGGGCAAGGCTCCGCGCCATCAATTGGTCTGGGACTTCTCCGACAAGAAGGTTGTCGTTGAGTTGCTTCGTCTGATGATGCTCTACACTATTAGTAGCGGCCAGCACAGCGTCCCAGAGAAGGAACGCATTTCCGACTTCTTCGAGACCTTCATCCCCGCCTTCTTCGATATTCCCGAGGAAGAGATCGATGGACGCTTGCCTAGACTCCAGGACGTGTCAGAAGAAGATGACGCGGAAGAGACTGTTCCCACCGAGCTTACCAATGGCCGCAGTCGTCGTGCCGGCAGAAGAGGCGATCTGCTCCGCGGTGTGCTTGACCCCGGCCGCAATGGTTCAAAGCCTCGTGCGCAGAAGGAAGGAAGCGCAGCATCTGGCAGCAAAGAGACGACTCCTGAAGTGGGCTCAGCCAACGAAGAGGAGATGCCCGATGCCCCAGAAGATGGTAATGGCCCGGATGTGTCGAACGAACGCTGGATGCCAATCGTGCCGCAACCCATTGTCACGACGGGAGATGACGCCCTTCTGACTGCTGATGGCGAGCTGAAGGCCGACGGGTTCTTCTCCCGACCCTGGTACAACTTCTTCTGCAACCAGACCATCTTTGTCTTCTTCAACGTGTTTCAGACGGTCTACACGCGCCTCAGAGACGTCAAGGAGAGCAAGGAGAGTGTTCTCGAAGAGATCAACCGTGTCAACCGACCCCGCCCGGCGAAGGATATCGGTTTGGCCGATAACACACTGAACTACTTTGGTCCAAACGACGATCCTTCAACCTTCTGGCCGAAGACCCTTGAGCTCGTTGAGGAATACATCACTGGCGATATCGACGAGATCCGGTATCAAGATGTTCTGCGTCACTACTACCTCAAAAGCGGCTGGAAGTTGTACACCATTCAAGATCTTCTCAAGACTCTGTGCCGCCTCGCCCTCACCTGCAGCAGCACTGACGCAAAGGAGAAGACTCCAGATCTCATCCAGCAATATCTTCACAGCCGCGAGAAGGAGGAGACGAACTACCAGGCCGAGATTGCTGCTCGAAAGTACGCAGAGAAGTGTGTCAAGGATGGCGAGATGTTTGTCATCTGCTGGGTAAGTTCAAGTATAGTCCGTTTCACCTGACATATCTAACACTCAATCTTGCAGTTCCCGCAAAAGTCAGAGGCCTCAGTCCGTTGGCTGCAACGCGAGGATACCACGTTCTACATGGACGAGATGAAGGCCAAGGACCGATGGCAATACTACATTTCTTCATTTATCCAAGTGGAGCCAACAGAAGGTGTGCCTCGTCACAAGCTTCAGAAGACGGTCTTGGCACGCAACCTTCCTTCTAGCGACGAGAAATTTGAGGATAGCCAGATCCCCAAGCCCATCTCCTTCGATGAAGATCTTTCCATCAGCATTTGCCTGAACTCCAGCAAGATGGTGTGGAAGGCGGGCACATCCGAGTACTTCGTCTACGATAACGTTCCCAAAGACAAAGAAAGTCGCGAGCGACACCTCGAGAGGCTTAAAAACGCGAGCAACAAGCGTGATACCAAGCTTCGCGAGAAGTTTGTCTTCAACAGTCCTTGGATGAAGGGTATGAGCCAGGCCGATGTCCAGAAGTCCAACGAAGGCTGGTCAAAATGGCTGAAGGAGGGTACAGTCCCTTCTTCTGACGCCGGAGACGCAATGGACACCGCAGAGTAAGATAGCGCTCTGCAGTGTACGTTGTTACTGAAGGGCATTTCCTGTTCTCAAGGCTCACGCGATGACGGTGGCGGCATTTGCGAGATGGGGAAGGGAACGGCGAAGACTGAAAATTCACATTACGAAGATACCAGGCGGCATAGCGGTGCAGAGCGGCATGACTGCCATGTTACCCAAAAACTTACATGGGTTTGTCTCTTGATACCCCGACCACACTCGGTAAAACGTGGGATGGGTTGGCATGGGATGGCGTGGAATGGGTTTGGCGTTGCTTTATTTCCTATTCGATTTCGACTTTATTTCGGTGTGACGATCAGAGAGGAAACCGGCAAGGGGTCCTCGCCTAGAAGTGTTCAGTGGTTTGGTTTCGCTCCTAATCCTCTTGGAGTGTGTCCTTTTCAATTTATTTCCTTCATCGAGCTTGATTTTTCGCAAGTGTACAATAGCTGTATTTGCACATAAAAGCATTGCAACCCCAACCAGCGCCATGCTTCCACGTGCTGTGATTGGTACCGAGTAATGACAAGCCCATATCATCCCTGACCGCGTGAAGATCCACCCCACAAGGCCGATATCGCGGTTATTAGAGCGCAACCATGTAAACCAAACGCCCGTCAAAAGTCGTGCATACTAATCAGCGCAAAGCATAGCCACAGCTCTCCGTTCGAAGATATGCAACGTGGGTGGGTACATATCAGATCATCTAATCAATAAGGGATCGATCCGAGGGACAGACAGAAAAAGACGCAAAGCACGGCAGCTACGTGGGAACTGGACAAAATCGGAAGAGGTTGCGTCGTCTGATTCGTGATATTAGGTAAAAAGATCTGCAATGGTCGCCCATTGCGCTATATCTAAAACGCTGGTATACTAGCTATTTTTTGGGGTGGTGGTGGATGAGCCCGCTGCGCCAGGCGATGTTATGACGAACTTGCATGCTTTCCACCATTGCGTCAAATATCTGCAAAGGGACTTGAGAAAAGCGCAAGGTCCCAAGTGGGACGCCGCTGGCTGTGCGCGTTTTACCGGGCCACGGCCCCATGCGGCCTCCCGAGTTTATTAATCGATTCGAGCCGCATGAGCTCGGAGCTCCGAAGGTGTCATTTCGTGTTGGTATGATAGCTTTGTCTGCTCTATTGCAGGCTCTCAATGACAATAGCAGAAGCACCACCGCCGCCGTTGCAGATACCTGCAACACCGATCTTGGCCTTCTTCTCACGGAGGACGGTCGAAAGGGTGGTAACGATGCGAGCACCGGAGCAGCCCAAGGGGTGTCCAATGGCGACGGAGCCACCAAAGACGTTGACGGTCTCGGGGTCGAGGTTCAACAGCTTAATGTTGGCAAGGGCGACGACGGAGAAAGCCTCGTTGATCTCGTAGAAGTCAACATCCTTCTCGGTGAGACCGGCGTGCTTGATGGCCTTAGGAATGGCCAGGGCAGGGGCAATGGTGAAGCGCTCCGGCTCGCGGGCGGCGTCGGCCCACCCGCGGATCTTGGCGATGGGGGTGACACCGAGCTCCTTGACCTTGGCCTCAGACATGAGGACGACGGCGGCGGCGCCGTCGTTGAGGGGAGCAGCGTTGGGGGCGGTGACAGTGCCGCCGTTGGGGATGAAAGCCGGGCGCATGGCCTTGAGCTTCTCGACGTTCAAGTTCTTGACCTCGTCATCGCGGTCGACCTTGACGTTGGGCTTGCCGCGGCCACCGGAGACCTCGATGGGGGCGATCTCCTTGGCGAAGACGCCGGCCTCGGTGGCGGCCTGAGCCTTCTTGTAGGTGTTGATTGCGTACTCGTCCTGCTGCTCACGGGTAATGTCGTGGTCCTTGGCGCAGAGCTCAGCGGCCATGCCCATGTGCTCCTTCTTGCCGTAGGCATCGGTCAGACCGTCCTTGAGGACACCGTCGACAAGGGTCTGGTCGCCGTACTTGGCGCCGTTGCGGAGGACGGGGAGGTAGTGGGGGGTGTTCGTCATGGACTCGGTGCCACCGGCGACGACGATGTCGGCGTTGCCAGTGATGATAGTCTGGGCACCTAGGATGATGGCCTTCATGCCCGAGGCGCAGACCTTGTTGACGGTCGTGGCGGCAACGCCGTGCGAGAGGCCGGCTCCGATAGCGCATTGGCGGGCGGGGGCCTGTCCCAGGCTGGTTCTCGAGTCAGAATCTGCGCAATGTATCTTTGTTCAGGGTCTCGTTTGTCAGACGTACTTGGCGGACAGAACATTGCCGTAGAAGACCTCCTCGACGTCCTCGGGCTTGATCTGGGGAACTCGCTCGACGGCAGCTGTGGAGGGGTGAATGTTAGCTTGCCCCGCGTCTCGTCTCGGACCGTTGATGAGACATCTGCGTACCCTTGATGGCGTGAGCACCCAATTGAGTGGCGCTCAGGCTAGACAAAGAGCTGGAAGACGAGAAAACAACAATTAGCTTTCGTGGTTCAGGCGGTCAAGACGACATGTGTCAGTGGACTCATCCGTACCCCAAGAAAGAACCAACGGGGGTTCTGGCGGCAGAAACGATGTAGACGGGGGAAGGTTGGCCATCTTGAAGGTGGTTGCGGTGTAGTCTTGAGAGAAGCTGGGGAGAAAGAGTCCAAAAGCGATCCGGGAGCCGTTGCGTGCTTGAACGAGCAGAGACGGAGAATTTAACGGCCAATTTTTGTTGGGTGCTGGTCACTTATCAGAACGATGTACTCCTCCTACCTAACCCCTCGGCGCCTTTTGATGTTTGGTGGGGTTGCTCCGACCCTGCGGACACCGCTTTGGTGGCTCCGGGACCTTGTGGCGCAGCAGCTGTCGGTCCGTCGAAGCATTGACCCCCTGTCTACCCTAGGTATCTGATGTACCTGCTTCTGTAGCGCCGGACGCGCGGCCAATCAGTGAGCTACAGCCACTCAGCCTCGCAGCCACACACGTGCTCAAGCCACACTCCAGCCTTGCAAGAAACTTTGCGAGCGGCGTCATGCTAAACGCGGTTGCGCCTAGATCGAGAATCCTTACAGCCGTTTGGCAACCCGCGATAAAATTCCCCCTTTACATCGCTAGACGCCAAAATGGACGATTTATACGATGAGTGAGTCCAAGTTCCTTGAAGACGACCAGATCATCGAACTGACGCATTGAAACAGGTTCGGTAACTTCATTGGTGAGGATGTCGGCTCTGAAGAGGCGTCTGAAAGGGGAGCGGAGGGCGACTACGTCTACGGTGACGATGCCAGCGAAGCGCCCGCGGCCACTGGTCAAGAATTGATGGAAATCGACGGTTCGTACTGCTCGCGCTGTTGATGTCGAATAGTTGGCTGACCTGGGAAACAGATGATGGCCCATCGAACGCGATCATCCTGCACGAAGACAAGCAGTACTACCCGACGGCGCAACAAGTATACGGAGATGAAGTCGAAGTGCTGGTACGAGAGGAAGATGAGCAGCTTCTCACGCAACCGATCATTGCGCCTGTCGAGCAAAAGAAGTTCAACATCGAGGAGGCCGACCTGCCGCCAGTCTTCTTCGAGCGCAGCTTCATGACGGACCTCATGAACTTCCCCGACCAAATAAGGAACGTTGCGCTGGCAGGACATCTCCACCACGGAAAGACCGCGTTCATGGACATGCTTGTGCTGGAGACCCATGACATCACCGATAGACTCGAGCGCCGGGTCGGCAAGAAGAGAGACGAGCAGCTCAGATACACCGATGTCCACATCGTCGAGAGAGAAAGAGGAGTTTCGATCAAGGCGTCGCCAATGAGCTTGGTGTTGCCGAGCTCGAAGGGAAAATCCCACCTGGTCAACATTCTGGATACCCCTGGCCACGTCAACTTTGTTGACGAAGTCGCGACTAGTCTGAGATTAGCCGACGGAGTCTGTTTAGTCGTCGATGTCGTGGAGGGCGTCCAAGTCAACACGGAGCAGATTATCAAGCACGCGGTTCTGGAGGATATTCCCTTGACACTCATCATCAACAAGATGGATCGCCTCATCTTGGAGCTCAAGCTGCCGCCCAAGGACGCGTACTTCAAGCTCAAGCATGTGATTGAGGAGGTCAACACCGTCATTGAAAACACAATTCCAGGAAAAGGCGAAGCGAAGCGGATAAGCCCTGAAAAGGGCAACGTTCTCTTTGCTTGCACAGACATGGGATGGTGCTTCACTCTGCAGTCGTTCGCCAAGATGTACGCCGATACCTACGGCGGCATCAACACAGAGGATTTCGCAAAGAGATTGTGGGGAGACGTCTACTTCAACCCCGAGAAGAGGAACTTTACGCGCAAGCCGTTAGAAGCCCGCTCGAGTCGGTCGTTCGTCAACTTCGTCCTGGAGCCCATATACAAGATCTTTACACATACCATTAGCGACAGCCCTGAAGACCTGAAGGTGGTTTTGGGCGGCCTGGGCATCACTCTGAAGCCGTCTCAGTACAAGGCTGACGCCAAAGTATTGTTGAAGCTCGTCTGCGAACAGTTCTTTGGTCCCTCGACTGGCTTCGTCGACATGATCGTACGCCACATCCCGTCACCCGATGAGTCTGCAGAGAGGTATTTGGAGAAATACTACACAGGCCCTCTGGACACGAAGCTGGCTGAGTCCATGAAGTCTTGTAACCAAGATGGGCCTTTGGTTGTTCACGTCACAAAGCTCTTCAGCACGGCGGATGCCAAAAGCTTCTATTCATTTGGTCGTGTTTTGAGCGGTACGGCTCGTCCCGGCATGCAAGTTCGAGTCCTGGGAGAAGGATACTCGACAGACGACGACGAAGATATGGCCATGGCAACAATTTCCGATGTGTTCATCGGTGAGTCAAGGTACAATATCCCGACGGACGGTGTACCGGCGGGCAACTACGTGCTTCTTGGTGGAGTCGACAACTCCATTGTCAAGACAGCAACCCTCGTTCCGCCCAAGCTCGAGGATGACGAGGATCCTTACATCTTCAAGCCTGTTACACATTTCACGGAATCCGTCCTCAAGGTGGCTGTTGAGCCTATCAACCCTTCAGAACTTCCCAAGATGCTTGACGGTCTGCGGAAGATCCAAAAGAGTTACCCCTTGATCACCACCAAGGTCGAGGAATCAGGAGAACATATCGTGCTGGGCACCGGTGAACTGTACATGGACTGTGTTCTCCACGATCTGAGACGCCTGTACGCCGACATGGAAATCAAGGTGTCGGATCCCGTCACGCGATTCTGTGAGACCGTCGTGGAGCAATCCGCGACAAAATGCTACGCCATCACACCGAACAAGAAGAACAAAATCACAATGGTGGCCGAGCAGCTGGACAAGGGCATTTCAGAAGACATCGAATCAGGCAAGGTCAAGATTAGGGATCCCATTCGCAAGACGGCCAACTACTTCGAAGAGACCTACGGCTGGGACAAGCTGGCAGCGAGAAGCATTTGGGCGTTCGGCCCCGACGAGATGGGCCCGAACATCCTGCAGGACGATACACTGCCCTCTGAGGTAAGGCTTTGCAGCCCATTCCTGAACCCACCTGAACTCGTTGGGATGAGCAATAAACTAATAGACGCTACAGGTTGACAAGAAGCTTCTGACAACGGTCAAGGAGACCATTCGCCAAGGTTTTAGCTGGGCGACTAGAGAAGGTCCCCTGTGTGAAGAGCGTAAGTCCTTATTTCCCTTGCCCTTGTTGACTACCCCCTCCTGTCTTTGTATTGTACGTGGAGCCTGCCAGCAGCGCCGCCATTGGTCCCCGACCAGGCGGGACTAGCTCACGGGAGGGTCCTACACATGGAACTGGGGTTGGGGTTGGGTTTTGGGGCATGGCTTGCATTAGCAACACGACCATTGCTTCCTTCCCCTGACCCCAGCCTGACAGATCAAAACCTGCTTCTGAACACGAAACCTCATCCCATAATCAGGCCTCTAGGAGGGGCTGCGGTTGACTGGGGATGGGGGCACGGCCCTTAGGAGAGCATTCAGTCCCCACATCAGACCATTCCCCAGCCTTTGCTGGCTGACGAGCAACCAACCGCTAACGACTTTTGTGTTGAACAGCCATTCGGAATACAAAGTTCAGGATCACTGATGTGTCATTGGCATCGGAAGCCATCTTCCGTGGAGGCGGTCAAATCATCCCCACCTCTAGGCGGGCCTGCTACTCGTCGTTCCTGATGGCCTCTCCTCGATTGATGGAGCCGCTGTATTCCGTCTCGGTGACAGGCCCTGAGGACTCTGCTACGGAGGTCTACACGACGCTCGCCAGACGCCGTGGTCACGTCCTCCAGGATGGTCCGGTAGCGGGCACGCCTCTCTACCGTGTCAACGGTTTAATTCCCGTCATCGACTCGTTTGGTTTCGAGACGGATCTGCGCATCAAGACCAAGGGTATGGCCATGGTCAGTTTGACGTTTGACAGCTGGAGCATTGTGCCAGGCGACCCTCTTGACAAGGAGGTCATCATCCGGCCGCTACAGCCAGCCAGCGCTCAGGCGACTGCCAGGGATTTTGTGCTGAAGACTAGGAGAAGAAAGGGTCTTAGCGAGGATGTGAGCGTGGCGACCTTCTTGGAGCCCGAGTTCTATCAAAGCCTTATGGAGAGTGGCGCGCTTGGTGACTAAGGGTCACAGTGTCTAGCGAAGTGTGAGGACATACGCGGGGACATCAAGAGTCGATGGCCGCGATGCCGAGTTGTTTGGACAGCGCGGCATGGCGCTTGCGTGCTAGTAAGGGGCCATGCTCACGCCGATCAGGGCTTGCCTCACAGGTGACGGGGCAAAGAGGCTGTGGCATCTGAGTAGATGAACCGGCCATGAGACGACCAGAGCTCGGGCTGTTGTGTATACCAATGAAAACTACTAAAATTGGGCGACTGAGCGTCTGCCGCTTTCTTTCTAAAACATGGTCTCCTGTTGCGGCCATTTAGGGAAGTGCTCCGCTAAATGCCATCTGTATGCGGACTTGATGGAGAGTGCGGTGTTATGGAGGATGGTGTGTCGGTCTTGTTCGTTGGAGGTTGCTGATGAAATGTTTCTATCTTACACACGGGTGACTGGCAATCTGAACTTGACCATCCTCGGAGACCAAGCGGGACTGGGACGCCGATGAGGAGCTCCGATCAGGGTCCGGCGCTGGGCGAGTATGCACGTGGCTTTGTCTTTTCATCTTGATTCACCGCTCATGCCCGACAAACTTGGCTCGAGGGACAAGTAACAGGAACAGATACGCATGTCCAAAAAGGCTTCTGGTAGGGGAGCAAGTCGGCCACCCGCACGAGTCATTTTTGAGAGCCTTTGTTGACGAGTTGAGCTCCGCCACCAGACTTACAAACAGATATATCGACTCTGGAAAAAAGAGACAATTGACAACTACAGCGCAGCTTCATCAACGACGGTCTCAACGCATCGGTCCACGCGAAGAAAAAAAAAGTAGAAAAAGAAAAAGGTAAATTGCCCAGAGGCGGATTCGAACCGCCGTCAACACGGATCGCTGTATAGAAGAACCACAACGTATCATCCTAACCAACTAGACGATCTGGGCGAATTTTACGGGCCACGGAGAAACCGGGTCCTTGCTTGACCGTTCCCACACCGGGAAGGGCTCATGTAGCGAAAGCTTGCTGTGCATGGAAAGAGAGTCCCACTTGTGCGTCTGGGTTTGGTTCTTTACGATTGCTGGCAAGAATGCAAAAAGAATCCGAACTGGTTACTGTATTTTCTCTTGCTTTCGAGACAGTTCTCGGTATACGCACCGGGGTGCAAAAGGCGCGAAGGTGCGCATGTTTGACCTTGGGAGATGCATCGTCAGCTTCAGAATTGTTTCGTGTGTTGCTGCCGCCGGCTGAAGCAATTGCTGGCTTGACGACTAACCAATTCAACCGTACGTGAATGACGATGAGCCTGGAGCCTGGGTATACTTAGCCCCGGCTTGGAAGTTGGGATGTTCTCTGGCTTTCTGAGTGCACTCGGGTTTGAACCAGCTCCCGCCCGTGTATGATGGCATGTTCGCTTTGCAAGTAGCTCAAGAGATGCAATAACTGCAACCTTCATGCCTGTCTGTGGTTTGCAGTAGATGTATGCGAATCTTATAAGAAGACGTTTGGTAGAATACTCGAGCCATGGCAAGCTCCCGTATTTGCAAGTTCCTGCTTTAGCAGTTAGCACACATCATTACTACATTCGAATATTTGATACTCACTACTGTTCCAGAAGCGAGACCACATGAATAGGTTAGTGGACTTAACACAATCTATACCATCATCTTTCACAGAGAGAGCAAAATGAAAAACAAACAACTACTGCCTCTCACTGTCCGAGACGTATCGGAACATATGACCGCATAATTGTGGCAGGTGAAGGATGTTCGTATCACAAGTCCTGTCACCCAGAACAACATACATCCGAGCTCATGGTCAATATAATAGTCGGTTTCAGCGACTTGGTTCAGCTTCAATTACATTCCTCTAGCCGCAGACCATTGTGATATGGTGTTCATGCCATACAAAGGGCATGTCTGGCCTGAGAAGCATTAGCATCTGTGAGGACATTGATGGCTGCCTTTTTACCCCAGAAAGACCAACTCTCAAGGTGGCATACCTAATCAGCAAGTGTAATGCGTTAATTACTACTTTCTGCAAAGGCAGCAGAGTCCCGATGTGCTGAAGGTTGCAGGCTCCGGTGACGACGACATGCAGTTGGCCAAGTGTCATTCTTTCCGTGCAGTATGGAACAGATATTGCCCCTAATTGAGGATCAAGTCACACGATTTGTATCATCACCATAGCTGCCCGGCATGCACGATATGACAAGAGCGTCACTACGGGAACGCTCATATCCGTGACGGATGTCGAGGGGAGCTGTATGCCTTGGTAGACCCAGCCGTCGTGAAACAACTCCCTACTGTGAATAGGAGTGAGCGTGCCCCGACAACCCCAGAAATGAAACGAAACCTTTGTGACAATTGCAGCTCCGCTCACAACATTATTACTCCTGTATCGACATGCCCCTTCGTTCTAGACTAGACGTCGACACCAAAAGGGCCGATGGCAATCACGGTATTGTCGAAATGATATGGGAAAGTATCGGCAAGATACTACCCTCCCCATATAGCCTATCCCACATGCTGGGAAAAGGCACATCTCTGCCCTGACCGATGTACCGTCGATGCTCGTGACATCCTCTCAACAGTCTGCCAAGTCACATCGAGATTCGAGTTTCAAGCAGCAGCCCCTCTTCCCACCATCGACGAACCGGAACAGTCGGCGCAGCCGATGGATGCCCTGAACGTTGGCCTTGAGCCCTCCCGACAAACGACGCCCCGTCTCTCCCCTCCTTTCTTTTTCTTTATCTATCTTTCCCCAACTTCGTCGTCATGGCCGGCCGTACGGAACGCCGATCGACTGGGGATCGTCCAACGGCGTACACGAGAATTTCCTCCACTGAGACCCCATTGCGACCCCCGGAGGCCGGCCGAGAGCTAGACAGCTACCTCGTCATTCAAAGGCCGGCCCAGCCGTTGCCATTACATAGCGACCGGTATCTGTTGGTCTCTGGATGCGGAGTTTCTTTCCCCCCTCGTCTTCAATACATGGGACAGAAGCTTGAGGCTGCTGCTGCTGCAGCTACACTGCCCCTGCTTGGTATTGCCTCACCCCCCGGTTTCTACCGGTTCGTACAATGGTCCATCTCCTTCTCGCCCCTCAGTTTGAGTTGCCCCAGCCATCCGCCCCTCTTATCCATCCCAGCAAACCGGACCCTGGCACCAAGGACACGCGAAAGGACTCCTCCTCGCACACACCGACTTTACACCACTCCAGGCTCCACCGTACAGGCACGCGCCATCAAAGGATAAAATAAAAACACCGCGAATCTTACCCCTTCTACACTTTCCCAAACGGGGGGGGGGGGGTCGTTTTCTCGAGAGAGTGCGCGTGCCAGGCTAGAGAGATACCAAGGAGATGGAAAGACAGCAAAACAGCCACACCAGCGTTTTAGGCCTTGAATGGACTGGGCATGGTTTTCCTCGAACGGGAGAAAGATTGACACTTTTCGCTGCCCAAAGATCAACGCGCCTGGCAACCGAGGAACGCCAGTTGGAGCGGTTGTGGCTGATGGGGGCCAGCCCCCCCCCCAGCAAGCTGGACCTCTTCTCATCGTCGGCTCTCCCTTGCCCCTCATGATTCCAACGTCCCCCTAACCCTGGTTCCTGCAATACTTTTCGCTGCCACCATATCTCGTCGCCCCGTGTACCTAGGAAACATGTAGAGAAACCCATAAACCCCGGCAAACCTTCAAAGTCACTTAGCCTTCCACAAACCCGACCCCACAGACGTCGTCTCGACTTACATCGTACATAGTGGACATGGCTGTGACGCTAGGCTCATGGCGAAATATCGGCTGGTACTTCAAGAGATGGAGGGGGCGGTCGGCATGCCAAGGTTGGCGGCGATGCGGATTCCAAAGTTCGATCAAATCAACTCTAAGCCACGCGAGCGAGACGGAAGGAAAAGGAACGCACGGATAGTGGGAGCCAGTCTTCCCAATTTCTGCCGACGGGTTTTTGGGCGACGCCAACATGGGGGAACCTTGTTTCTTCAACGCCGTGCGGGAACGAAGGCGGAAAGTACACGAGCCAAGAACAGACTCGCTTTTTGGCAGGCCCGCCACCCTTTGCCACGGTGAAGCCATGGGGGCCGAACTCTATCACCGTTGTAACTGTGGAGTAACTGCGACGATACCGAGGGTGCCACCCTTTCCCTCCTGCGCGTTGTACTATACAGGCTCATGCGGTATTGCGTACATCTTCATCGGAACAACGCCAGCCACATACGCAGGAGATAACGAAGAGACTCACGCGACACAGGCAGAGGCGGCGACAATGTAAGGCCAGACTAAGCATGTTGTTTCGGCATCGCCTCGCTGTCGACGTTGTTTTTATTCGCAGCCCCCATCTCCGTTTCCTTCAGACAAGTTTCGTCGCCAAGCGACCCAGAGGAACGCAAACCTCGGTAGGGCAAACGCATGGAATGTTCCTTGGAAGACGTAGAGTTCCCTAGGTAAGGCTGCCAGGCACGAGGACATGTTTTCATGCTTGTGCTCCGCCACGCCGTCGCCAGAACGGCAAAAATCACATCTCATGCTTCAGCAGGTCGCGCCGCAGTGCTGCAGGCAAAACATTCTACCACCGTCTAAGCTTTTCCGATGCCCCCGATTTCAGGGGAAAGTTGAAGGCTAAAATAGTGTCTCTCCGTCATGATGGTGATACTCATCGCCTCCAAAACCTTGGCAGTCCTCGGACTGCTGGAAACCAAACAGGCTACGCGCCAAGAATACCTACCGCGCATATCTCGAGTCCCTGACGCCGTAGTTTACTGCTTCATTGCTGGGCCCTCCGGAAGCCAAGAGGATGGCTGGGCGAGACAAGCAACGCGAACGAGGAAATCGGGAAGAAAGACCAGAGGGCAAGACAGGCGCTGGACGGTTCTTCGGACATGGTCATGGTTTGTAGAGGGATCGGTGGGCTCCGGCCGTCCGAACATTACCCACCGCACCGTCCTCGACGTTCTGGATCTAGGGTCTTAGGTATCTTTCTTGCCTACCTGCGCAACGTATGGGATTGAGTG